AGGATAGATGCCAAAAAGGATTTGGGCATTTGGGTCTACTCAAACTTGTCCTTCTCACTGCACCATGAGAAATCTGCCCAAAATGCATTCGCCATTTTACGGATGATCCGACGCACCTTCTCCCGTATTACTCGCATGGACTACCAAACGCTCTATTGGGCCTACGTCAGACCGCTGTTGGAATACGCCAACCAAGTTGTCTACTCAGGACGTACGAAAGACGTCACCCTCATTGAGCGTGTGCAGCGAGCTGCCTGGAGAATCGTTGGTAGCCTCAACTCCGTGGACGGTGAAACCCGTCTCGCGATGCTTGATCTCTCTGCCTGGAGTACCGTCGCCTTTTAGAGGAACTAATTATCCCTTATGCCCTGTTTTAACAGCTTGGCCAACAGGTTTTTCACCGTTGACCCAGCAGCACACGGCGGGGACATGGTAAGATTTTCAAGCTCAGAGCGCACACATTCATCAGAAAATTTTTTTCTCACATCGCGTAGTAGTAGCTGCATGGAACGACCTTCCTCCGACGGTTGTTCGCACTCTTTCTAGAACCCAGTTTAAAGCACTTTTAGACTTTTATTTATGCGAATCCTCGCGCTTGCGAGTATACTACCCCGCGCCGAGAAAATAAAGAGCAGTGCTACACCTTTTTTCCGCTTGTGCCTTCCAGGTGAACGACAGCCACTGACCGACAAGAACAAAACCGACCCGGGAAACTTGGGCAAATCCTCGATCTTGTGCATCAATCCGTGAATCCGTGAATCGGCTGTTCCCCAAGCGTTACCAACCAATCACCTAACAGCGATTGACAAGTGTTGATTCAAGGTCAAAAGTGCACCCTAAACGCCGCGGTGCTCCTCGCGATCATATTTGCCCGTTCGCAATGTGTCTCTCCTTGTTGGGTGAGTAATCCCGTCATCAGGATTTTTGAACCCGTTTAAAATCCAGCCTCTCCTTTGATCAGCACTCCTCTTTTTTGACGGTGTAATAAAAGGTGTAACCTTCAACGGCCCAGTGAACTCGTCAGATAATTATCTTGTTTACATCTGGCTTACGTCTGGTGAACGTCAGACCATTGATGTGTGTACCATGGCGCCAGAGATGGTCCAAACTTGAAAGACATCTCGCTTATAAAATCCCTCGCCGAATTCCGAAGCACCCCGAAAAGCCTTGGTTTATTTCATCACGCTAAATAACATCTACAACCTCGGTTGATAACCAGATGGTTCGTGTTTCTAAGCCACGCTAGAGGGCGTGTGTTTGAGAATGTTAACATGGCGCGGCATATTTGATGATCCCGACAAAAGGCTTCAGTCCTTTTCTAATGCTGTGACACATGCATGCTAGCTACAAGTTAAACCCTCGTTCATGATCACCTAGAGCCTCGTTCGAATGTGCACCAATGGCGAACTTCTCCTTCTGCATCCTCTTGAACTCTACCATATCACTGCACTGACACATGGTCCCCTGGACAAGACTGCTGGACGTTATGGGCTCGCCCAAAAGTTAATGAGCCTTCCTATGAACAATACATTGGTTTGTTTTACTACACTCGCAATGTTATTTTATTCTTGCCACTCAGCAAGCCCTATACCAGCGCACCGTTGGTTAGGGAGGGAGAGTGTTTGGTGACTTGTCAATTCATTATAAGTGAACCACCTGAGCTTGACGGTTTTTGGTCATCTGAAATGGTTTTGCCCAGCTGACGATTTATTTTCTATTCATAAGTGCGCTAGCACGCGTGACAAACCGTTTAGCCCGACAACACCGGTAATCCAGCGTCGCTTCTTTCACAGAATACTACTGTTGCGTCAAAATAATTGTTCTCTCTAACTTACCCACCCTCTTTCATGGTATCCATCAGTCATATTTCCATTCTCGCAAGCTTCCCTAGCTCCTGAAGCGTTCGTTTAGTTCATTTTTGAGTTTATATCACCAGGATTTGAGTTGTGCTGTGGATTTCGCCCCCCGGAATTCAGCTACAGGCAGCTCAGTGGTTACGACACGAACTTACTAAACGAAAGATCCTGGTTTGAATTCAGCCCCGACAACTTAACTAATCCTTTCTAGGTTTGAAACACCTAAATTATGATAAGCTGGCAGTCTAGGATGGTGCTTTGCGACATCAAAATATTCCCCGACAGTGCATACGAGCAAATGGAATCTGTACCTTAATTACTTGTTAGAGGAAGAAATAAAATACAAATTCTCGTCCTGATCCACGAAAATGCACCAAAATCGGACTGACTATACCCAGCTCTCTCCAAAGAAGGCAGAGAATCCTTGGTTAACCATCTGACAAAACTTATGGATTTGACACGGTTTGAAAAAAGTGACTGCAGAATGGGATACACCGACAGTCGTCCCCTTCTTCAAAAGGGTCAGTGGACGCTGTGTAAAAACCACCCTGGCGTTAGCCTGGTGGCTGTGGCATCGAAGGTGCTCATATAATCTTATTCTTCGAAGGTGGACTGAACATGAGGAGAGACAAGTCCTCGAAAAACCAAGCTGGGCTTCATTCTGCAGAACGATTCATCGATCATTTTCACTCTCCTACAGAATTTAGAATAGCGCCACTATTTTCAGCAACCAACAGTGGTGTTCTTCTTTGACTTGAAAGCCGCCTCCGAGCTTGAGACTGTCAGACATCATGACAGTGTCTACGGAGCGAATATGTTCTCCGTAAATTCTGACCGTCCTTAAGGTACTGTACTGCAGCTCTCGCGGACGCGTAAAGGTATACAGAAAGCTGTCGACTGGGTTCACTATATTAGGTGACGTCATGAAAGGCTAACCTCTTTCACCTTCACTCTTCAACTTCGTCATTGATGTCACAATGGAACACTCACTCCCAACCTCTTACGTCAGCAAAGTCGAAGTGCTCCCAGGTCGTTCACGGGTATGGAGTACGCAGAAGGCATAGCTCTTCTTAGGTTTGACGCCAGTCATGCAGACAATTTCAAATTTGAATATTTCTCCCACACGACTTGACATCCGCTTCATACTTGCAAAGTGTAAAGTGATGCTGCAAGACTGGGTGGGGTCGAACCCTAACATGCCTGAAGACGAGCCGATCGAGGTGATAGGCAAATTTGTCTAATTGGCCAGCTGTATCGGTCGCGGTAGTATGGCCGAAAATAATATTTCCATACGGATTACGAAAGCCAAAGCAGCTTTCGTGAACCTGCTTCACCTGTGGCCTAGGCATAACATCCGCTTACCTGTCAAGGGTCGAGTTTACGATGGTGTGCACTCCATATTATGGGGTTCAGAAACCTAGCCACTGCGCCTTGAGGACGTCCAAAGACCTCCAGTGTTTGACCATCGATGTCTTCGCAGCACTGTTGGACTCTGTGGGAAACACGACCAGTAACGCTGAAGTAGGTCGTGTGGTTTGCAGTAGAAATAACGCCCATGATATGTGATCTGATCCCTAGGTTGCATTGGTTTGATCGTGTTCTCCTCGAAGAGCTCTTTTCACAGGCATGTGAAGTGTGGGAACGAGTCAGGGGAGGTCAAACGATGACAAACAAAAAATTGGAAAGATAATCGTTCAGCTGTAGCACCCTTTCGGCGCCTAGCAGGCATGGGTGCTAGGATACTGTCAGATTGCTCAAGCCTAGACAAGAGCAGTCAAGATGCTGAGGTCAGATTCGAACCATGGAACTTCCGGTCCGTCAAATGGCGCCTTAACCACCGAGCTATCTCGACTTGGCGACGAACTATGGAAGTCATAACTAGCAGACTCAGCTTCGCTGGTCACTGCCATCAGTCTGGATGGTGACTTCGAAACTAGACACATCAGTGGTTAGGTACACTATCAGATGTGGCCCAGTCGGGATCGCAGTGGCGCTCGTGCATCTGGGGTGTTGTCTTCGATGCTTGGCTCCCCTTCCAATCTTCCCTACTGACAACCTTGTATTAACGTATCAATTGTGTCAGTCACCGCTTCTATTTCATAGTTACCTACCCTACCTCCCCAAATTATCGGCGAACGAGGCTGTGACAGCTATACTTTTCGTACAGCAAGATGATAATGGTGATGACAGCGCTTCTCGAATGGGGAAGTCCGAAGCAATTTTACCAACCATCGATGCTTAAAGTGCTGGTGTGGCGTCGCTTCATCTGTCAAGGGCAGATTCTTCACCTCGACGGTGCTGCCCAGCACCGTCATCACCATCCTTCGGTTGGCGTGGTAGCTAGGCACCGAAAGGGTGTTGTAACTGAACGGTTCTCTTTTTTGCTCCTTTTTACCCAGAGAATGTACGAAAGTTCGACCTCTGACCAAGTGCGTTTTCAAAGCATTGACATATTATTGTTTAGAACATAAGAGGTACACCATGTGGTTTTAGGGAAAGGGATCTTCCATGAAAATAATAATAATAATAATAATAATGGTTCAACTTTAACATCCTTTTGGTACCTAATTGCCATGCCACCCAAAGAAAGCACGAGGGCTAGGGTATTGTCAGGCTGCCCAAACCTAGACAGAGGAATTCGAGAGGCAGAGGTTCGGTTCGAACCACAGACCTCCTGGTCAGTAAATTCGCGGTCTATAGCTTACACTGGCTAGGATATGTTATTCACATGACAGGAAACTGTCTGTCTCAGAACCCTTTTTGGAAGGCTCCTTGATGAGTGCAAGCAAACAGTCCATGGCCCGATAACGAGGTATGATAATGTCAAACAGTAAGCTCGGTTTGACACTGCCGACTCCATGGATGAGGAACCGAACTCATCACTGGCAAACGACGCTGGTACATATAGTTCAGCCACACAGTTAGTGATGAGCTTGTGTGAAAGCTGTCGTGTTCATTGTGTAGCTGCCCAGTTTTCGATTTCTTCAGACAATTGGAATGGTTCGACCTTGGCCAACTGATTATATTATCGTATCCAACTTGCGCTCTCATTTTTCAGTGGCCGGAACTGACATGCCCTTGGTGCATCGTTTATCACTGATAAACAGTCGTACGTAGCGAAGTATGGTTGCATAAAGATAACTACTCGTCTGTTAAGATTAGCCATTATGCCGACATACGAAAAAGGGTCCTTGGCAAATTTTTTGGGTGAACACTGATCCAACTTCATGCTGGCCACCAATGGCATTTTTGGCTTATCGTTCTTTGGCTTTCTCAAGCGTGAACTCTTCATCCGCAAAGGATAAGCTATTTTGCGCGGCTAAAAAAGACGCGGTAGTTAAACTCTTACTTTGCTACAGATCCTTGTCTATTGATACAGCTACCCCTACCCGGATATCTCTGTGGGGTCTGCGGTCGTGCACCTAAAGCAAATTAGGGCACGCTGAGATGTTCCACATTTCACTTTCCGGGTATCTGGTGAACCTGACGCAATGGCTCGTTGTATTTACAGTGTGGGGGTTGCACTCGTCCCAATGGCTGAGAGCGCTTCACTGGGCTACATCGCAGTAAGTCAGTCTTTGCGCTGTACGGTTGGTTCGCTTGAGACCAATGCAGATGGATGCGATGAATGGTGACTGTTTGTCATGTCGGCATGTGTCGTGACAGGCCAGCTCTGAATCTGTGAAGGACGAGTTGTGCGGAGATCTGTAGGGACTGCTCCGATCAGCAAGGAGTACGAATATAGTCGTCCTGGCGGGTGATATGAACGCCCGGTTGAATGAAGAAACACGTTGTAATAGGTTCTTAACCGATGATCAGCGTACGGATAGTAGGTAGCGACTCCTTCAGGTGTGTGCTGAACGTCGTACGAACCTTCAGCACAAGTGCACAAGTTACTTGGAGACGACCAACCGTAAGTCAGTCGTGGACTCAGTTGGGTCATATGGCTCTTAGTTGCCGATAGAAAGCTTCAATTGAAGATTGTCATTCTTTTTGGGCTGCGCAACTTGACTTTGATCAGCTCAAAAGTGTTGAACTGATCT